TGCGACCACACAAAAGGCCACACAATTTTGATCTTCATACCTTCGATGTGATGTAGTCTATTTTGTTATAGCAAAAATACGTTTACTTCATTGACAATCCTACCAAAGAATATGATATGGGAAAAGGCCTGGCCTTCCTTGCAATTCACATCGGCCCTGGTACTCAATTGCACTCGTGGCAATGTAGCCGAATGGTTAACGTGTCAAGCTCACATGCTGCACTGTCACGGTTCGACTACCGCCAGGAGTATTGATAAGACTTATGCGAGGTCGAAACTGCAGTTCACCTCAGTCTGGGTAAGAACTTCTGGGAAAGCTTTTATTCTGTTGAAAGTGCATGAAGAAGATATTCTTGGGTCGATCTCGCCAGAAGAGGACGGATGACTCCCGTTGTACTGCAGACATTTGGTTTTTATACGACGTTCAGGTGATGCAGTCCACGAGATTTCCGTCGTTTCAGGTGAAAACGGGCTGAGCTTACGTCCATCATATAATGGACATCATCAGAGCTGGAGCTCATTCTTGTAAAGGCCTCACCTTAACACCAGGGCAAGAAGCACATTCATAAGTGAAAATCCCTCCAACACTGTTTTCTCAGGAGATTCATCGATACCAAATTACTCTTCAATTAAAGTAGGATTGCAGCTTGCTACCTTTTTTCTCATACTAATTAGGTTTCAAATAGAATAGTTTGAGGCTCCGACGGCATTTATTATCAGCATAGATTCATCGGAACTGCCGAGTGGAGCTCTGGGAACTTCGTTATTTCAATTAGCAGGGACAACTCCCAGGTCATCTTCCTTCGGCTTCCGGTTAGGAAACTTTATGAATCCCATAAACCTGTTATCTGGAGCAACATAGAAGGTATTAAAAACGAATATGCTTTAGTTAAGTGGTTTGACCTCGTTTTCGCAAGTTGGTCAAAGTTACAATTGATGTGGAAGTGAACGTACATTTGCCTTCCTTGTATGTGGAAGTTATTTTCTCTGAGAATCTCAATGAACGGCTGTTCCGAAAAATCATATACAGGTATGATCTCCAATTTTTATTCTCACAATTATAGTCATAAAAGGTTTTACAAACGAATATGCTTTAGGTAAGTGATGGTTTGACCTCGTTTTCGCAAGTTAGTCAAAGTTACAATTGATGTGGGCCACGATCCGGATGCCCTGCGAACAACATTTAAAACCGGTGGTGAAGGTGATTATGCTTCACTAAATAAACTTGAAACGACACTCTTAAGCGACATGGGAGGAAACGAGAACACAGAATCGTGTGAATAGGTAAATGAGCCATATGAACTGGGGTTGGGAGAAAGAGATGCAGCACTGAAAGCCAGAGCAAAGGCTAGAGAGGGGTGATGCCACAACGGCTAAACAGGAAATTGGCCAAGGGGACTGCCTTCACTTATCACTTTGATGAGTGCTAAGGATGACACCTCATTACAATGCTAACGAAATGTTTGTGGATGTAGTAAGTCAACAGCCCGATTATAGAGATCATTAATACGGAAAGATCGGAGATAAGCGATAAGATTTCGGGCAGATGGACCCAAAGTATACTCAGCTGTCCGAATAAAGCACACTATCATTTCACTCCATTATAGAGCAGACTGTATTCAGCTCATTCAAGTCTATGGGAATGAAATGCAGACCTGGCTTTGCCAAATTAGCTTATGCAACTAGATATTAGACCAAAAATCACTTGGGGAAAATAAGAAAGAATAAATCATTGATACTAAAATAAATCTCTTCGTTGGGGACAGGTGGTCGATATAAAATGAATGAGATTTCATTTTTCCGGCAAAGATAATTACGAAAGCTATTTGCTATCGTTACTATAGGGTCGATATTTGACTGAAAGATAGATTAATATGCTGGAAAATGTGCTAAATTGTTCTGTTACAAAGGGTTAAATTCCATTTAGGCTCAACTAGCCGTATCTATTTTGCTTGTATAGGTCTTCTCCGTTATGTTTAAGTAGTTTATTTAGATCATACTTGATCTACTTATATGGGTTAGGATAATAAATAACGAGAACCACATGCAGCCCAGCTTCCATGTGATGAATGACTGAAATTGGAAACAGCCAACAGTGATACGAATAGGCTCATCACTGCCGAACTTCACTTGGCCTTGCATCACAAGAGTAATTTTTATCCAGAGGAGACTAAAATGTCCACATGGCTCGGATCTCTTCAGCACTCCAAACGGGAAATAAGCCGTAGTACTGCGGCGTTTATTCTCTACACGTTACTACTACTTGGCACCCTCACGAGTACTATTAACCAACCGGGCGACTGTGACTTTCAAAGCAGGGCGGGCCTTACCAGCACCACACTGCATATTAGGGTTGTAGACGGGGCAAACTCTTATTTGCCATCACAATGAACGACATCACTCGCATCGAGTACTGATGACAGCTTGACGCTGTGCATCTACGAAAGGAGCTGGATAAGAATTTCGGCTGATCAAACGGAACCGCATTTTTATATCAAAATTTGATATTAGTTTTGGTGAATAACGGTGATGACGTGACCCATTAGCTCGCTAATAATACCAGTAATTCAATAGGACATCCGAGAATAATTCTACAACCGACCAGGTAAAAGATCGCCACTGATATGACGAGGGACGCGGACTGAGTGATATTTCAACCTTCGCTAGAATGAGAATAATCAGAATCGGGTAACAAGCTTATCCGTGTCTCATGGAGAACCTAATAACATACTCTTCGAGTAGACAGACTGAATTATGAAGGGAACGAAAGACCAAGAACCCAATTGCCTCGATGAGCATGAAAATGAGCCGAAGCAACCAAGGTGAGATCAAAATAACCAACCTCCCGAATGCCCCGAAAGCCGCTTGGTAAAATAAATTAGCCTAGACAGTAGGCACACAGGGTAGAATTACGTAGCCCTCGACCTGCAGAAGAGGTTATCAATGAATAAGACACCAGAACACTAACCCCGAATATTTAAATACCCCAGAATTTGCCTGGGAATAGTATGAGACAACTCCAGAATAAATCCTACGGTCTTATCCCTAACCAAAGTTTCGAATGAAACCCATACTCATAAGTGAAAAATAAGAGCGGTCGCGAATCCCTCTAGCTAACCCATCCCAGGATGAATCGGCCGAGGCATCAATGAGCACTAGAATAAACTCTTGCCCTCCCCTCACCTAACGTGACAATATTAAAGCAAAGCTGCTAAAACGAGTAGCCTTCACAAGTGGAGCCAGAACCACGATGGAGAAAATAGCTCAACAAACCGAAGACAGACTTAAAGGAAGTTCAGAGACATCGCAGAATAAAAAGTGCTAAAGCTAGCTGACTTAACAGCGCAAATTAGCGCAGACTGCAGCCAGTAGTGAAAATAGTCTTGGGTGCACTTCAAGCGCAGAAATAACATGACGGATCGCGATGATCGACAGAGGACAATGCTGTATACAGACCCATAGGAGCTGGACAGGAATCAAGCCCCAAAAGGAATGTCCGCAATCTTCACACAAAACCTTGTCCGAGCGGCACCAAGCAAACACTCTATTTAAAGAGGACAGGCCAACGTTACCACCATCGCTTGGTGCAAGATAAAAGTGAATTCCGTATTAAGAATGCATTTGGCTAAATTTATAATGTAACAAAATGAAGTCTCACAAAAGCCGGGATTGAGGATTCCAGAGCAACTGACAATCAAAAGTACGAGTCACGGGTCAACCAACCTCATGGAAATTTCAGACAGTAGAGCCATTATTAGACGCAATAAGGGTTACGAAGTGAAAACCATAAGCGACAAAAACACACAAAATGTAATTGAAAAAGAGACAAGGTCCCTATTAGTATAGAGTAAGTTAGGATATCTAGAATAAATCCAACAGGAAAGACAAAGAGCAAATTTCAGAAAGCAGGACAGGAAACATTTGAGCTTTACGTGCAAGAATATAGACAGGTGTGGTGGAGAGTACAAGGTAAGCATATTACAAGGGTCGCATTGAAATAAAAATTGTACGGGTTACGACGCAGAGTAGAAGAGCAAGAGGGGATGAAGGCGCGATGAAGTTAAAAGAAAATTCAAAATTAGGCTAGGAAATGTATATTCTGGACGTCGACATTTTCCGTGATCAGCTGTACAGTCACCGAGGTCCAAAATGCGATTGCAATTCGTCACTAGTAGTGGAGAATAGTCAACACGACCGAAAACATCGATGAGTGAAAGTTTAAATCATAATTAGGACGCGAAGACAAAGGATTGGTCGCATATCCCTTTGCCTTGGAGACGATTTGACTTTGGTTCACAAACTGATCCAGTTAGCTGAGAATCTGGAGAACTCACACGATGGGAACCTGTTGTTACTGAGGGCATCCACTTTTTCTGCATCAGGTTATAGGACAAGCACATTCCAAGACATCAAACCGCCGGTGAAACGATTCGCGTGGGCGATAAAAAACGGACGGGTACGAATGTACTGGTAGTGCAACACCACCTGGAGCCTTCCAGTTACGACCAATGTGCGAAAACGGGGTCCAAGAGAATCCCAAAACCAAAATCCAGTGTAGTAGAAAAGTAAAAAAGGACAGGAATAGAAAAAATGAGTAAGCAAGAGCCAAGCAAGTGATAAATGGAGTAGCAGAAAATCACTCGGACCGGATGATAAAATCGTGGCTTGGGCTTGATTTGATTGTCACCTAGAAAAAAAAAAGTAAATTAAGCATTGAAGGATGAAACCAGGAGCAAGGTTAAGAAACTTACGGCGGATGCAGGTTCATCCGAAGGATCGCCAACAGAGATACGCACAGGGGCCCTAGCTCCATCTAGATAAATAGGCGGAGGAACGGATCTCCTGAGAGATGAACTTTGATGGAGAACTATCGATTTACCCATATAATCGAAATTTGAGTGTGAATAGCCCTCATTAATTCCATTTCTGCAATCGACAAGACGAACTTCACACTTTAGTCCACCATCGTCGAAGTCTGAATAAGAGCTAGAGGGGAGTGGCTCGGAGGCATAACAAGACTCAGGGCATGCCATGGGACCCAAATCATCGAAGTCTGTGCCATCGTCGATAGAACCAGCACTGGAGCAGTCGCCACCCGCACCGAGGCAATTCTGAGCTCCAACCGAGTCCAAATTGGGTAAGCCGACAGAAGTCACAGAAGAAGAGGAAGAGGTAGAATGAAGGCGACGCACAACTATGCTTTCACCGGAAAGACTATACAACCGATGCTGCTGTTCATGGCGACGAGTTAAGTCCGAGTTACTAGAGACACATCCATTTGGTAAAAGAGAGGGCTGATGACGAAGATAAGGATGCATAGTATAGTAAATATGGCGCCCAGAATGGACCGAAGAACGACGCGGTTGGGTAACGGGTAAGCAATTAATGGCACCCTGACCATCACATCCGGAATCTACAAGTTCACGCGTGCCACCAGAGCTGGCAGGTTGTGAACGAGAAAGCGGATAGGCCATGAGGGATGTGTTGACAGGAAGACTCCGACTATTTGCGATTGAATGAAAGGAGCCCGCTTGTGGTTGGTGGTGAATGCTAGAAAAATTGGATTGCGTTTGGTGAGGATATGGACTGCTGCCGTGTTGGTTTGACATGAAAAAATGTCTATGTATGCTAAGTGAACTATAAGAAAGAGGATCACATGATGAAAAG